TATATTTACACGTGGAGGAACAGCTATATCATAGAGATCTGTGAAACAATTATTATAATTCATGAAGCAGGGCGAGAAGCTGTGTGGTTGAGAAACATGACTCATTATATCCAAGCACCATGCGGATTAACTTCAACAAAGGATAGTCCAACAATTTTGTATGAAGACAATACAACTTATATTGCACAACTCAGAGGAGGCAGCTTTAATTTTAAGTACTCCAAAATAACTGTACTCTTTTTCCTTCGTTTTGATTTTTTTTCCTATTGGATTTTTATCAAACAATCTTATAATGAGGCAGATATTTTATAATTTGTCATTCAAGGAGGAGTGTCGTAAAAGGAAAGTTTATTAGGGTTTAGAGGTGAATGACAAGTACACTCCTAGAAATAATTACTATTGTATCTCTGATTCTGTCCCATAAATACAGGGCTTTAATTTTTAATAAAACACACACAAGTCTATTGACTTCTCTCTGTGTTTTCTTTTCTTCACTTTTATAATAGGAGAATCCTCACGAAATAAGAAAGGATAAATAATTGACCGTTGAGAGTTGGGATGAGTCCAACTTGAAAAAGTATGTGATTGAAAGGATTATGCACATAGCCATATTGGTCGAGCATTGGACAAGTTAAATTATGTTTTGGTAGCATGCCTTAAAAGCTTATTGTGAATTACTTGAGCATTTTTGAATCGTAAAGCAAATATGATGGACCATTTAACTTGTTAATTATTGCGTGCATGTGTATTGGGTTGATAATCTTCTTGGGACAAATAGAAGTTTAAGTTTAGGTAGTTTTGATAAGTGTATTTTATATACTTATTTTGCTCTTAGTCTTGATAAATTATGATTAATTTGAGCGGATTCCTACCTAATTATTTGAAATTGCATGATTTGTAGGAAAAAGTCAAGATTGAGTTCAATTGATGCAAAAAGTGGTGATTTGAGCTTGATTGGAGAATAATTTGAACACTTGAAGATCATTTGAGATTGAAATCGGTCAATTGAAAGAATTTTTGGGAAATTGAATGAATTCAAAAGATTAAGGATGAAAAATTGATAATTGAAAAGTTAAGGGACCAAAGTGGAAGCTTTGAAAAATTATAGGGCCAAATTGCAAATATTTGTATTTTTTTGTTCTTTTCGTCTTTTTGAGCTTGTTTTGGATGGGAACTCTTCTAAAAATTATAATACTATATAAAGACTTGAGTGAGAGGAAAAAAGTATTCCACAACTTGAGAATTAGAAAGAAATAATAGAAGAAAAGTAATAAATCAAATTATCAAAACTAGGGTTTCAAGCATTGATTGAAGAGGATCATGGTGCAAGATTCATTCACTTTTCTAAATTGTCATTCAAAATCAAGTGATTTATTCAATAATAATTCTGTCTTTCTTCATTCAATATGCGTAGCTAAACTTTCTATTAGGGCGAAAGATGTAGTTTATTGAAATATTGTTAATTCAATTTTCAACATTATAGCTCTTAATTTTACGTGTTGATTTTATTGATATTGTTGAATGCTTTAAATTACTTAGTCAATAGTTCTACGATCTTGTAAATTTATAGCAAGCCAAGAGGTGAGTTAGAGGTTTAGACCGTGTAGCAAAACCTGGAAATTAGTATAAAAGCATAGGGATACATTTTACAGTTAATGTGGTCTTTATATAAATTTTTAGAAGTTTAATGCGTTTAACTAAAGTATATCATGACTCGATAGAGATATGGAATTGACTTAATTAAATAAAATCAATTTGAACGCAAGAGGGGTAAATCAAATATGTTAGAAGAATGAGACCAAACACGACATTTAGTTAAGATTCTTGATTAGAGAATTAAAGGTGATCGATAAATGAAATTCGGTACCTTAATATCTCCTTCACATTCTAAAACCTAATTTGATTTTTGTGTACATTAACATACATTAAGTTAGTTAGTATAATTTAGATCAACAATCAAACTAAACTCTGTTTTTTATCAAACAAAATTAAAAATAGTAAACTGGAACAATTAGTAGCCTTTTGTGGGAATGATTATGTGGACTCTAATATCCGCTATATTATCTGTTTAATATCGTACACTTGTAATAAGAAAAATGCAACATTGATTAGCAGATTGGAGCAATTCATGTTTAAGTAGGGAGTACAAGTGAACATTAAGGCATGGCTCACTAGCTTTATTTTTCTTTATTCATGTTGTTCTAAAATGCTCTTTAGTTATTACAATCACATGGTAGGGGCTGTTGTAACTCCTCGGAAATTTTATAGAATAAAGTTTACTTATTCTATATGCTATATTTTTATATTTTGAAAGTAAATGAATTAGTATTAATTTTAATTTTATTTGATCTAAGTAATTAGATTTTGATAGGACGAGATTTAGTATTGGGCTCATTTTATAGTTTGTTTTAAATAATGTATTATGAACTCGAGAAAAGTTTTATTTGGATTAGTTAGGTATAAGATATGGAAGTCTTTAATTGGTAATATATAAAACTTGGTTTATGATTTTAATTTTAAGGTAGTGCCCTATGAGATGATAAATGTTGATTTTGGATAATGATAATCGTTTGGGATTTGGATAAATTTAATTCTAATCTTAAATTGGTTTCGATAAAGTTGAATAGTAATCATAATTGTATTATTTGAAATCAATTCTTATTCAGATTCTGATACAGGAGGATTCGAGTCGAGTGACGCTGATCTGTCAGATAGCTCGTTGATAGCGATGAAATACCTTGAGATGGCGGATAGGTGCAAAGATGAAAAATAAATGCAATCTTTCCTTAATTGGGGTAATTCTTACGCGTCTTTGGTAATTTTGTCATAATTTTGATTACGGTTATCAGAATCGCTATTATGACTCCAATCCTAAAAGCTCTCTTTGGCCCACACATCGTGGTCACCAAGCTATGCTCGGTGGGCGTCAATTTCGAGCCCAAAAATCAGCTGTTTTCCTTTTCGAAATTCAATTTTTAGTTTTTTTTTTTACTATTTATGACAATATTTTGTTTCCCTTTTTCTAGACGTTAGAGAATCCAGATTGAATCAAATTTTTGGCAACTTATTTTATTTCATATTTTATTTTGGTGTGATCATTAGGATTTTGCTATTTTTGGTAATTTTTTGATAATTTCGTATTTTTGCAGCTATTTAACCCGGTTTGTGGGTTAATTTTCGTCATTCTTGATTATTAATAATATTGAGTGAAGTTTTCAGAGAATTTTCTCTATTTTTTGCGTTTCTTTCTTCTTCTTTCTTGCGAATCGTTTGTTGCAACTAGCCTATAGGATAATCGCTATCCTACCCGACGTCAAATTCCTTGTATTACACAATTTTCCAATTCTAGCTGCATACAAACTCAATTGAGAATTTTAACTATAAACAGTGCAAAAATTCCCATTATTTCATCACCAAAAAAATAAATTAATAAATTAATAATAATAATAATAAAGAGGGAGCCATGGTAAAGAGAGAGGGCGAGAGAGAAGGAGATGAAAAAGAATAGAAAAATAGGGAGGAATAAAAATCTGTAAGATTTTATTCTTTCCAATATTTCAATAATGAGGTAACATACTTATGTGCAAGTGGTTCGTTTCCTTATACTTTTATGTATTCAATTAAATATGCATAAATTGCCAGTGGATCTTCGAATTCTATAGTAAGAGATATGAAAATTTTCAGGAATTTAAGCGGACCTAAAATGGGTGTGTCGTTTGGTTATCGACATACTCCATAAGAGAAAAGTAGTATGAAGTATTTATTTATTTGTTAAATATAATCGTGTACACGTATCTTATTAGGTATTTTTAAATACTCAATCTTACAATAATTTTTCATGTTAGTTGGATCAATTAGAACTATGATGGGATGGTAATTCAGACTATCAAGAGAATTCGAGAGGAAAAAATATATATTTTTTTTGGTTTTGTCTTTAAATTTATTAGTTAGTTTAATTTATTCAAAGACATGTTATTTAATTAGTTAGTTGACCATGCTTATATTTTTTTTTAAGATACGATTTTTCATGTTTAGTTTAAATTTATGGATATTTCAGCAGTTTATTTTTAGAGTCCATTTTTATCTTTCCGTATTTAAAACAAACAAAATGAGTTTTTTGTGACACCTCAAAGTTTATGAAAACTTGGGTGCTACATGTCTGATCTTTTAATTAGGATTTCAATTGTTAGCTCGTTGATGGAATATAATCTTAGGACTTTGGATGTCCCATGTCGCAAGAATACTATCGATTGCAAACTTTGAAAGAGAAAAAAAATAAAAAATAAAAAAAATAGAGGGAGTCAAATTTGGTGCTTTAGATTTTTAAGGTTTAGAATTTTGGTGTCAGTTCAACTAAATTATGGAACGATTTTGAGACTTATTAGATATAAAATAATATATCATTGAGTTATCAATTCAAAATTCCTACACAATTTATGGATCTCCATTTTGACTTTCCTACACAATTTATGGATCTCCATTTTGACTTTCCAATTAATGTGGTCATGTTGAAAAGTCAATTCGTGGGGATGCTAAAAGTCAATTCTTATCTGGCTCAAGATAGTTCCTATGATTCTTCAATTTCTTTGGAATCTGAATGCACGAATTTGTAGCTTAATATACACGTTTCTTTCATTTAAATATAATCTTGAAAATCGTTGAAGGTAGAAACAGAAGTATTTGAATATAAACCTATTTTTGTTTGAGATATATCTGTCATTCTCTCGAAATTCATCTCTCTTTGGTGAATTCTAGAGAGTGCTGAATATTTCTTGCCATGTATTCCTTGATAGATCCATTTGGGAGGAGATTTCTATTTGTTCACGTCATTATTCTTTTTAATAGAATATCAATGCAGATATTTGTATAATACTATTAACGGCATTTCATATGGGGTTGAAAACCTAATAAATACATAAATATGGGATACGGTTTTTGTTCAATTAAATAAACAACATTATAAGAATAACAACATAAAATGAAATTCAATACGTTCAACATTGACTAATAACCTTATTGGATTGCGTCTAGTTAAATAATTTGAGGTTACAAAGACAACAAAGTAACGAACTTAAGAACAACATTAACTGCATTTTGAGCGGCTAGTGAAGAGAAGATAGCGGCTTCATTGGAGAGAGAAGAACCGCCACCAGCTAAATCAGATAGTGCCCTAATTGCTATAAAACGCGTCCTTTGTTGGAGACATACAAGGGCTACTCCAGCACTTTCCATGTCGACTGGAGTTGCATTGAACTTAGTATTCAAAAAATCTCGATAGGCAGCATTGTCTACAAATACATTAGCACTCACCCCTCTTTCCACTCTAATTACCTTTGGAGGTCGAGGTAAACACATAGTGGAATTGACACACCTTTCGAGGACAATATCCTGTACAGAAAAGCAATAATTAAAAAAACTAAATTTAAGTAAACAAATGTGTCGATCTTTTGGGCCAAGCATACTTGAGGTTAGTGTAAGTTTTTTCAGTAAAGTTTCATGGTGGTAGATAAACTTTGGTGATCAAAGAGATTATGCCAAGATAGTAAAAAATTAACCTCAAGTTTGTCTGCAAGTGAAAAGTACAGCTTGTCAACAGGAACCCAAAAGGCATGCTGTCTAATCTCAGGTGCCCCATCAATGGAAATATCTCTTCCGGTTGATACCACACATTGTTGAGAAGGTTGTCTGAATAATTCCCATTTTTTGTGCCATTTTCATATTGAGAGAAATTAAGATAACCGATTTTTCTTGTATAGTCTCCATTAGATTCAAATGCAAGTTCATCACCAGGTCCATCTCCAAACCTCTGATCAAAAAAACGTGTAAGGATTTAAACAAAGTCAATTAATGGGAGTATACACTACAATTATTTTGATAGTTTTTGAAGCATCTAAATCGATGGGTTTTACGTAGTGAGATTATTATTAGAGACTGCTTATTTTAAGAAAATTATGGAAATTGTTGTGGATTAAGCAAATAAATAATTATAGAATAACGTCTTTTGCTAATACATCAAAAACCATCCATACATTTTATACGGAAACCAATTTTTGACAATGAAAATAAAAGAAGATTATAGAAAATAGATACCTGCCAATTCCAAAGGCCTGAATGAGCCCAATAATGAGGGATAGTAACATCTCCTATTTGTAATTTAGGATTTGCATTTCCTGCTATTCCAAAGTGAACTACTCCTTCAATCTTGAATATGCTAAGCAGCAACTGTGTTACTATTCCTGCATTAAGCTATGATATAATAATTTAAATTAATCATGTTGTACCTCTGAAAAATGGAAAGAAATAAATCATTGAATTTTCCTTGTAAGTAGGGTATTACAAAAATGAACATACCATGCTGAGTCCGGACATGACAACAACAACTTTTCGACTTTCCAAAGTTCCAATTCGAAACCTTCTTCCTGTTTCGATGCAGAAGATGAAGAAAATAAGCATAAGATTTAGGAATATTATAACTGGATATTATGCTATTTCTTGTTATCTCATTGAAGATTTGGTAGAACCAAACGCATTTCAAGAAGATTGACTATTGTTTTCAATAATTAATTACTATTCCCGTTTGAATAAATGAATCATTTTCCACCATTATAACTTTGCTGGTCATTCATAGTAACTATGTTTTCACCTAATGTTAATCATGTAATCGTATTTCAATTATATTCAATTGGACAACTACATTTTTATTTGATTTCAATAGGGTAGCTCTATTTAATTTCGTCCCTTGGATGGACGACAGTCGACGACATGACGTCAAAAAATGATGATCATCATTTATTTCAATAAAATTATAAATAAAAGTTACACGTGATGACCATCATTTTGACTATTGTCGTCAATTTTTGTTCTTGGAATTGAATGAAGTTGACTTAATTGAAATCAAATAAAAGCGTGGTTACATTGATAATGTGTAGTACAATTATCTCATCGACATTGAGTAAGAGTATGGTTATTGCGAAGGGAATTTATCATATTTTTTTCTTAATGATGCATCTACTGGAATACCTAAAGAATTAGATGTTAATAACTATGAAGGCCATGTTAAGTTCGATCTATACCCTTCGGCTTTTTACATGTTTACTTGAAATTTATAAACAAAAATCTCTTTAGGTATGTGCAAACATATTTCCAGTACTCTAAATGTGGTTAAAAACATAGGCTGCTAGCCATATTCTTGTTCAGTATAAGTAAAATGAAATACTAAAGCATATATCATTCTGAAAAAAAAAAAATATGTGGAAGACACTTTTTATATGTAACATTAGACAAAAGTGAGGAGCACTAGAAATGATTAAAGGACAATTTTCTTTATATCGTCTGGTACCGAATAGTTTATCTTACACAAAATCAAAGTAAGAAATAAATTAAATTTCAAGTGAATAGTTGTCTAACCTGCAAAATCCAAGTAGGAAAGCAAGGGATGAGGAACAAAACTTGAAGATTGGAGAAGAGGGTTCATCTCAAAACTGTTGGGCACTACGATACCCAAGTAAGGACCCTTCTTGTTTATCATATGAATCTTTTCCATCGAATTCTGAGAAATTGCACCATCTGCCAAATGATCATTTGTAATACTCATAATCATCATCATAACCCATACCAATGGAAAATCTCTCACAAATCTACACATATTTTCTTCTTCTTACAACTCAAACTAATGAAATCTCTCTCTCTCTCTCTCTCTCTCTCTCTCTCTCTCTCTCTCTCTCTCTCTCTCTCTATATATATATATATATATATATAACAAGACACTTGTTTTATAAGCATAGGATTCTTTGATGCCATTTTTTCCAACTGAAAATACAAGTCAAAAACCATATACACGGACGTGGTTGATACGTAGAGGATTCCTAGATTATAATATTTGTCCCACTGAGACCACAAGTCAACAACTATGATCTGTTTTTCTTAGTAGCATTCCGCATAGATTGGGTGATGTATTCCTACTCGATTCTAAATGCTGGTCTATTCCAATGCACATATAAATAAGAGAGAATTAATTATGCCAAATGAACTGTCAAAATTGTGAAGAGAGAATATAGTAATATTGTAGAAGATGAAAATGACAAATGAATTGTTGGGAACCAGCCACAGGTGAAAATGGCCATTGAAAAGGCTTTAACACCCGTCGTTTTCTAATGCAAAAATTAATACTGATATTAATATCAAAACTAATGAATAAAATTGACATAAAGAATTTTCAAATTCGGCTGGAAATCATTGAAAATGAGCTCCCGTGAAGATACTATAATCCGGCTAACTACTTGAGTGGCCACTCCATCTCTTTCATAACAATAAATAGTTAGAATGACTATTCCAATGAAGAAATTTCAAAAACTGTGAGTTCCCACTTGATAATCATTTTCTAAATATTGTCCAACGTGAATAAAACACTTGAATGTATTACATGATGAGAATTCAGACAAGAAAATTACTTTTCAAGGACGGAAAACTTTATCCTAAAAAGTCGCTTTTTCTCAAAATAGGGTTGTCGAAAAAGTTTTCGACACAAAAGTAATCCTATTTATAATTTCCTTAAAAATCCCGTTTTATATGATATAAATTATTTATAACTAAGTCATATAACAGTATTAGCATCCAATACGTGACATTCTATAGACATGTCAAATGAAGACTGATCAAAAGATCGTAGAGTTAGCTATGCATCAAAGTTTTGCTACGTTCGATGTCTGCGTCGACTTTTGGGTGGACCAAAAAGCCTTAGAGCCTAATCAACTGGGATTTTTGAAAGGGGTTTTATGCATTTAGAAAGAAATTGAGTGTGATTCTGTACAACAAGTTTAGAGGTGACTCTGATTCTAGAAATAGTTTCAAGGGAGAAGCATGTGCTGGGTTCTCTGTAAGGAATGAAATAGTATTTGAACTTGAGTCCAAATAATCAATCTGTCTCTCGATACCAGTGGTCAACGTGAAGATGCTTGTAGGAAAATATGAAAGGCCAATCACAGTTCCAGGCATATTTCACACAGGAGCAACGTCATCTATACTTAACCCTTGTTTGACAACCGTTATTTGAAAACTCTTTTTAGAAGAAAGAAAATTCGCTAGATGATTGGAAGATTGAAACGTTGTGTTTTTTTAGCTCAAATTTAGCAAGACAATCCTATCTAATAATGCACTCTACAATCCTATAACTCTTGTTCAGTTTGTTCTAGGGCTGTACAAAAGTCTTGAGCTGAATTGGATCAAATGAGACCCGACCCGAACTGAACATAATCAAGCGATTTTTCTTTAAGTTAAATAAACGAATGGGTATCTGAATCAAGAACCGACAAATTTTGTTTGGTTTTCGGTTGGAGACTAATAATCGAATAAAAATCGAACACTACTAGAAAAGGTAGCAAGAAAGATGAAATTTTAGCGACGGTCGTCTTCCGTTGCTACTACCAACAGATTAACAACGGTTTAATAATGGGTTATCATTTTATTATTTTAAAAAATTACATATTAATTTACCAACAGAATTACCAACAGAATTATTTCGTTGGTGCAATATCCGTTGCTAATCCGTAGGTAAAAATTTAAAATAATAAATAATAAATTAAATATTTTAGCGACTGAATTTCTCAACAGATGATTTCATTGGAAAAAATATTAAAACCGATAAAATCATAAACCTATGAAAAATTTTGTTGGTAAATATTGGAAGTAAAATTTTAAAAGTATTATATAGTTACCAATGAAAAAATTCCGTCGAAAAACACAAAAAAATTGTAATTTCCACCTAAAATTTGACTTGCCTCTAAAATTTTCATTTCCCTCCGTCTAATTCCAATTCAAATATTTTATTTCCTCGCAAAATAAACTGTCGCCTTCCCTCTATTTCATTTCCTAACTCTTTTGTCTTTTGGGGTTTTTGAGCCGGGGTACTTTTAAGTTTGATTCAGTCAAAGGACCTAAATTTCATTTTGATTTTCAAAATCATGAATATTATGACATTGGCATCTTGTATGGTAAAAGACAAAGATACCCTTAAATGTTTTGTACAATTACAAAACAATGTATTATTGAAAGAATTATACTACCCTTTTAGTTAATAATTAAAAACCAAACACTTCCCCACTTATAAAAACTTCAAAACGAGCTTTTAATACAGGAAAAACTCTCATCTTTTTATCTGCTTGAACCTCAAAATCTAGAAAAACTTTGAAACGTTGAAGCCGAAATTTTTTTCATATCAATTACTTCAAATTGGTAAGTACATTTACGCACGTTTGAATAGAGAAATTTTATGTTGACATAATAGTTAGCATAAATTTTTTTTAACAGATTTTACCTATCTAAAAAAAATTGAACAGATGTATAATATTTTTCTTTAGAACCGTATTCTCCTGCGCAAAAACAACCAAACAGTCCGACTGTTTCCCGACTGTCTGGCTGTTAAACAGTCGACTGTCGGCTGACTGTTCGACTGTTAAACAACAAATTAACCGACTCTGCACTGGTTTTTGTTGGCACTGATTTTTTCTTATAATTAATAAATGAAATTGATTAAAATCATTTCCCCATGCAGATATGATAATCCCCGTCTGTTATTTCGGTGATTTCGAATTGAATGAAAATAATTGGTGAGAATGGAGATGGACGAGTGACATACGTGGTTGTATTGCAATTCCCATAACAGAGAGTACACCATACTTAGAAATGTACCACGATTTGCAAAATAAGCTGAATGTCGATAAATCTCAATACGATATGTAATTGAGATATCTATTCAATGGTTATGGGGATTCATCAATTCCGATGCCACCAGTATTCGTTACTAATGATGCGGAATTGAATTATCTATTAGAATTGAATAAAATGCATCGGACTCCGACTGTTCTTGGTGTGACTTTAATTACGAAGGATGTTATCGAAGGTGAACACGAAGATTCAGATAGGGCGGATAACAATGATCAAGGTTTTTGGGAGACAATGGAGATAGTTCCTGCGGATGATGTGGTTATTCCTGAGATAGTTATTTCTGATCGTGATGTCGCTGTTACGCGCAGAATTTCGTCGACAATTGAAGACAATGAGAATATAAACGAGTTTACGAATGAGAATTTGATTGCTTTATCCCGACAGAGACACGAGCCGGGTGGGAGCTTACAGGTTGGAACAAGTGGACCGTCCTCCAATTCTTCTCGTGTGGCTCCCGATGATGATGACTTGCAGGTCAAGCAATTGTTTGAAACCAAGAAAGATTTGCAGGAAGCTGTGCACCGACTGGCATTAAAATATAACTTTGAGTTCAAGGTAAAGAAATCAAACAAGTTATTGTTGACAGTTGCCTGCGTCGAAGACAGTTGCAATTAGCGTTTTAGAGCAACTAAGATGGACATGAATGAATGCTTTGTAATTCACAAGTATTCAAGAGAACATACTTGCGAAGTGGGAATTCTTTAAAAATCAAGCAACAGATAACAAAAGAAAGCATAATCTCACAAAATCAAGAGAACCGAATTCTAACTACCATACAATACGCATTAAAATAAATTAGTTATAAAGAAAATTAATCACAAATATTATATTTGGAAAATATATTTAAAATAAATCAAATTAAATACATTTTCAAAAACATTAAAGAATAGAAATATTATTTAAATAAATTCGAAACAAAATCAAAGGTAAAAGAACAATAAAAGGAAAAAAAAGAATTGTTAATTTCAGACAACATTATCTATTCAATTATTAAATTATATAAAAAAATGCAATTATAAAAATTAAATAAATAAATAACATAATTATTATTTAATCAAATTAAAATAAATTAATTATAAAGAAAATTAATCTTGTAACCATTTGGAAAATATATTTATAAATAAAAAATTTCAAATTAAATACATTTTAATAAAATGTAAAGAATATCTATATTATTTAAATAAATTTGAAAAAAATATATTAAAAATTATTTCATAAAAAAAAGGAACAATACAAAATTGTTAATTAAAGATAATATTAAATTATTAAATTATATAAATAAAAGACAATTATAAAAATTAAATAAATAAATAACATAATTACTAATCAAATAAAAAATTAAATTAATTACAAAAATTATAAAAAAAAATAAAAATTAAATATATATTTTTAAAAAAAATTAGATTGTTAACAGTCCTGGACTGTTAACGGTTAGGTTAACACGACTGTTAACTGATCTGTCTTCCTCGATTCTGTCGAAAATCGCCATTGTCGACGCTAGTAGGTCCAAAAATTACAAAAAATATCACATTTTTCATCCCACCATGTCCACAATCTAACACTACTCATACTCGTGATAGAAATCAAAACGAATATTCATCTAATTAAATTTAATAAATCTAATATTATTCAATAAATTTTTAACTGGAACTCTGTGTGAGAAAACTAACAGGTATTCTTTTCGGTGTAGATGCGTGATCGTCGATTTAGCTCACGACGACGGTGGTGTAGTTGGCCGATGGTTGATCGGACAATTTTCAGGCGACTGTGCGTTGATTTTCTTTTTTGATCGATCGATTAGAAAATGAGATTCAAACAGTCACTAGTTGAAGGGTAAATTCGCCCTTTTAATGTAATATTTTTTTAAACTTAGTTTTTTTTTTTTTTAATTCATGATCAACGCCAATATGAAAATTTTCGAAAAGTCCATTTTCGTGGATTTCCTCTTTTTGAGCCACC